TTTGGTAAGTTATTTGAAGTTTTTGGAAGTGTAGGTAAAATTTAATTAAAAGAATAAATAAGTTTTTTTTTTTATAATATTCTAATTGGTAGAAAAAAAAATATATGTAGAAATAAAAATGATTGAAAGTTATTTTTATTAAAATTTTCAAAAAACATCTATATTAAAGCTTATTGCTAATATTCAAAATATAGTTTGATTAGATGTGTTTTAGAATTTGAGTTGGATTTTATTCAATTAAAAAAAATAGAAGACTTTAAAGAAATTCATATTATGATAAAACATTACTATTATGAATGTTTTGAATCATGTTTGCACCTTATTGAAATTTTATTTTAATTGTGTACAAAGGCTTATAAGGTAGATTTCTTCAAATGGATGTCATTTAAGGTTTTTAATTATGATTTAGAACTAGTAATTTTTATAATAAAGTTTTAGGTTAAAATAAGAGTATTAAAAAAATAAAAATTAATAAAAATTAATTTTAAGATTATTTAGAATTGAAAGTTTAGTCTTAGAATTATAGATTCATTGTATAGGATAAAAAATTATGTATTTTTTTGGAGCAATGTGGATAAAAGTGTGTTTATTGAATATTCATGAAATACCAAACAAACATAATGTGTAACTTTGTACACATGGTGAGAAGGTGAAATTGATATATTTATTATTAATTTATTTAGGCATATTCTTTAGAACTATTCAAGCAATACAAGTTCATGGTTTGGAGCTATTTATATTATTTTTTTATATTAAGATTTTGAAGCATTATAGAATAATATGACAAAATATCAAATATGCAAGGTATTTGTAGAGGTAGTTGAGAAGGATCTAAAGTCTATATTTAAGCATTTAAGATTTCATTGAAGAAAAAAGACTCATTATGTAGAAACAAGTGTGCAGATTTATGTTAGAAAATTAAATATGTTACAAAAGTTTTTGACTACTTAATAACTTGTAGTAATAAAAGATTAAATTTTGAACTTTTATTTACTGATTTTTTTTGTATTAAATATATTTTACTTATTAGTAGAAAATTATAAAAAAAAACAAATTGATGTGAAGAAGTTATCTTCCAATTGAATAAAAAAGGAACTTTTAGAGAATTACTTTGAAATTTGAAATATTTTTACAATATAGTAAGTGATATGCTTTCAAAATATTATTCTAAAAAATTTAAAGACACTAAATTTTTTTTCTTTTAATGTTGCAACATGTGATGAAAATAAAGGTGATATTAAATTTTTATATGATAGGTTGATCCATATAAATAGAAAAGAAGTTTTTGAATATTATAGATTAGCAGAGCATCTTCTAGAAAGATTGGAAGACTTTCATTATGTAGAAGTTGAAAAATTGGATGATTTAATGCCATTATTAGACAAAATAAGTCTTAAAATTATAAAATCCATAAGTAGAGAACTTAAAACTTATAGACAAGTTTATAAATCAAAGTGGTAAGAATTTTTATGTACTATTAAAAAGATGGATGTTAGATGTGATGAGTCTTTTAAAAAAAAAGTTGAAATTTTAGCCAATTTATATAATATTTTTCAATGAAAAGTAGTACTAATGAAATTGGTGAATCTTATATAATAAGAGAAAAAAATCATTATTTGTATGAAGACATTCAATTAATGAAAAAAAAATTGTAATATGTTGCAAAAAAAAAGAGTAAACATCTTAATATTTTTTTATTGTTATTATGCATCAAATTGCAAAAAAAATGTATTACTTGCATCACATATTTATTTCACATTTTGATCTAAAACTTGAGAATATTTTGATAAGTTGTGTGGAAACAAAAATTATAAATAAGATTATTTAACTTACTATTATGAAAGTTATTAATTTTAGAATATATAAGATTGAAGTTGAAAGGAATCAAAAAATTTCAAAGAATAATATTGCTTATGATAGTATTAAATCTATGGCTCTTGAGATATTGAAAATAAAACTTTTAAACAATAACAATGTATTATATTTATTCATTTGCAATGTAATATTTTAAGATTATTTCAAATAATATTTAAAAATTAGTGTAGCAAATATACCATATTTTAGAATATCAAAAAATAATTTTTATTAAAATATAAAATTTTAACAAATATATAATAGATCAACAATAGTAGCACTTGAACTCAAATCTATATTAAGCATATATAGAGTTGATTGTATTGATTTTATTTATATTTGCATACACTCTTCTATGCTAAAGTGATGTTTAGTTGCCATAGTATGAGCTCAAGTTAGTAAGACTAGGTTAAAATATAATATATGCATTGTTTTAATTGTATTGTTAATTTGTGGTTTAATATCTTATTATAAGTTTATTATCTAAAAAAAAAAATTTATAGAGAAAAATATTTATCAAAAATAAGACAACAATGTGAAAATAAAGTTAAAGCATTGTAACTTTTGGATATATAGAAGTACTCAAGCTTAACAATATTGCCATATGAATCTTTTATTCACAATTTTAGTTTTGGATGGTATATAAGTTTGAAATTATTTCCAAATGAATTAAAAAGTCTCTCATCTTTTACTACCTTTGATAAAAGAGGATACTTAAGTTTAATATTATTTCTAAAATAATTGATGAAAAAAAAAAAAAAAACAAAAAAAATAAATCACTACCTTTGATATAAGCAAGTGCTCAAGCTTGACATTATGGCCAAACACATAAGATAACAACACATCTTTGGCTACTTTTTATATAAGGAGGAACTTAAGTTTGGCATTATTGTCAAATAAATTGAGGAACTTCTTATTTTTAACTAATCTTACAAAAAAGAGTTAGAAAAATGACTACAAACTATCATTATCAATAAATTTTAATTTTATTAGTAGTAAAATAATTAACAACAATGTTATGTTTTCTTTTTTTTTTTATAATAGGAATTTTTAATTAGAAAAATAAATATATTTATTATTTAATTAATACTTTAAAATTATTAATTAAAAAATTAAATATTTTTTCACTTAAAGTAAAGACTCAAGAATTAAAAAGAATGTACATAGAACTAAAACTTTGTAGATGTGTAAAGATAGGATAGTTTATGTTTGTAATTGATTTTTTTAAAAACTTTGAATCAATAAATATATATATATATATATATATATATATATATATATTATTAAAAATAGATGAAGAAAATATTATTAATATCACAAAAAGAGACAAAAAAAATCTTAACTTTTATTCCAATTTAATAGAATATTAAAAGATAAAGGAATAAAAACCATTAATCTTAGGAAAAAGAATTATATATATATATATATATATATATATATATAATATTTAGTCAAAAATATAAGAAGAAGAATAATTTTAATGTTCTAATGCCGTTTTTTTTTTTTTTTACATAGTTTAGAAATTAATACCATGTAAATTAATTGAATCTTTCAACCACATATCAATAATAAAAGTGATCAATTGGCAAAAATCCAATCCTCTCATATCTGAATTTATTACTACTGGATAAAAATCAATTAAAGATAACTAAAAATGCATTTTTTATTGCGATTAGACTAATTTCTAATGAAGAGCATCTTATCAAACAATTGACCAACTTCACTATCTATATACAAGAAATAATTGATTTTTATTATGATTAGATAAAACATTTTATTTTAAATTTGATAGCACAATACAATTTCAAGAATATTATGTAATTGACATAATATGTGGGATGATCTAAACTTTCTAATTAAAACCAATATTTGAAAAATTTAAGTAAAAAATCTAAATAACTTATAATATAGCTAAATTATAAAAAGATGTACACTATGAAGAAGCTTATGATATAGGTACATGTAATTAAAATACATAATATTTAATCTTTAATACAATTTTTTTTTTTTTTTTTTTTTTTTTTTTTGTAGAAAACTAAGTTTTATAATAAATTAAAATTATGATAATCATTAAATTGAAATGATCTCTACTATAAATTTTAATTCCTTATAAATTAAGAAATTTATATGATTACTTATTATGAAATAACAATAATATGCATATAGATATTATTAACAAATTATTTATAAAATGTGGATAGTTCACCTAAGATTATATCACTTATATTATTTAATATTCATATTCAAATATAAAGATTCTTTAATGGCAAAAATATCTTTAATAATAGGAATTACTTCAAATATTTTAAAGTATGATTTTTAAAAAATTACAAAACTAAATTCAATAAGTCTAAATGTGTTAAAAAAATAATTTTGTATGGAAAGATCAATGTTTAATTTAGACTATATCTTGCTATCAACAATTTGGATTCACTTTTTGTTGTTTAGATCCAAGACATAATACTACATTATATGAATGTGTGTATGTATGTATGTATATATATATATATATATATATACACACCCATACATATATATTATATAAGACAACTTGGGTATCACACAAAGAGGCAAAGAAGTCTTGTGATTAGTCATGAGGAAGGTAACATAAATGTGTATAATTTTATTATCTCAAAAATGAAAGAAATAGAAGTTGAAAATTATAGCATATGTATTGTTTATTGAATGAAAACATAGGTAAAATTTTAAAAAAAGATTTTAAAAAAATATATCATGTATGATGTCTTTAAAATAATTATTATTTTCATTTCATTTATGGCAGAATATTATTAGATCTAGTTCAAACTTGTGATCAATGTTCAAATTCAACATGTTTGAACATTTAAACACAAGTAATCAACCAATTACAATAAAATGAAAGTTAAAATTTCAAGAAGTAATAAATTGAATAGATTATAGATGCAGGCATTTCATGAAAGAAAAATCAGATAATTATTCTTAAAAAAAAAAAAAAAAAAAAAAAAAAAAAAATCCAAATGGTTTATTTTATTAACTTCCATATTTTGCAATAGTTAAAAATAAACATCCGTTAAACATCATCTAACATTCATCAACATATACACTTATTCATCCATCCATCGCCACCAGCGTTCATCCATCACGGCGTGTGTCGGTGTGTGTGCACTGCAGCATTGCATGATTCTGCGTTCATGCAATCAAATTGTGATTAGGTCTCACTCCTTCCGCACAAATCCTGTATCCAAGAGTGGATTATTCTTTTCGTTACAATTGGAGTTTCCTGGAAGTAAGATTTAGCTGAGACGAAAGAGAGCTCACACACACGATTGTCTCAGAGGATTAAACATTTTAGCGTCGGAAGTGGTGCCATGGCGGGGGACGAAGCAGGCTCATCAGCCGTCGTTGTGGACGATAACGGACGTTTGCGAGTATTGGACCTGGAGACTAATTCTCATAGCCGCTTGGTGGCGAAATCGTGCGATGTGTTTCAGTGCAAGCTTCAGGACTTTCAGAACGTAACATGCTCCTGACGTTTATTCCTATTTCTGTTGTTTCAGGATGTCTGTTTCTTTGAGTGCATGCCCCGAAGATAAAGTTCAGCTTCTATGGGCTTGATTTCTTGCTAACCTTTATGGATGTAATTATTTTTTCTTTTTCTGAAGGTATTATTCTATAGTCCTATTTTTGTCGTTGTTGATGTCACATGCACGTCGTGTAATTCGAGTGAAATTGACGAAAATTTGGATGGGGTTGATTTCTGGTTCTTTCGATTGTAGTGGATATTCCGTTTGTGCAGCAGCAATAACCTCTGGTTTTGTGGAATTAGTGATAATATAGTACATTGTTATTAAGAATCATGTAGGTGTGTAGCTCCATGTCTTAGTATCCAACACATGTTTCCGTTTCATGGCTTATGCATATTGGTATGCGCATCCGGAGAACGGAGTTACATGTTGAATACTTAATGCATTCCTTACACTTTAGTATTAAAAACGATTTCAGAACATAACCTTATGTTGTGACTTTCCTGAGCGTCTTTTCATGCATTGATACGTTGTACTTGTCTTGTCCTTGGGTCACGCTTGTGGATTACTCTGCGGCTGCATCTGTTTTGTTTAGTGAATGTATGTCTTTTGTAGCTGATGTTCCTTGGTTTAGAGGGTTGATTTTACTGTGTACATATCCTTTACCTTTGGAAGGTTAACTTCTCGTCATTCTTTTTCTGACCCTGTTAATTGTGTTTAAGGTTTTCTTGCATGTGCGAATGAAGTAGTTAGTGAAGCAGTTACTCGACCAGGCAAACGAGAAAGCGCAGCAAATAGAAGATGCGAAGCTGTCAGCGGTTGGTATGCGTAACATGGTGTCTGCAGAGATTGAAACAAGGCCAGAAAAGCTACGTGACCAGGCAAGATTGATAGCTGACAAACAGGAGCAGCTCGAGGTAACTTGTGATGATGCCGAAGTCGTCTATATTTCCTGTGTATTCATCAATGTAGTTGCAAAAAGAACTTTGGTTTTGTAATCTTCTACATTCAGAATACGTTAAGGTTCTGATTTCGTTCATGTGCTGTGGCGTAGCCAGAAAAGTTTTAAGCCCATCGCTAGAGCTTGTCATAAACACATAAATACGAAATTAATGCTCAGCAACTCTCCATTTTGTGCGTGCGTTGATACTTACTGTCCTTGAATTGACATGCTCATTTGATTCTGAGGCAGAGGCTTAATGCAGAATACGAATCATTGCTGACGGTCAAGCAAGAACAAGAGGCTCTCATCGCCCGTCTGTCGGGTTCAAGTTTGCAAGTTTGATTGCGGTATCTTGCAGCAGGGGCATGTAACCACATTGTAAACCAAAGCCTAAAAAATGTTACAACTAACAAATACCGGCACATCTCTATTTTTCCCTCAATCGATCTGCTGCCTAGCCCATTTCACCGGGTGCTGGACTGTTCGAATTCCTGCACTTGGAAAGATTCAACACCAAAAGGGCAAATGTACCTCTGCAGCGCTCCTACACCTCGCCTCACTACATTCCTTCAGACATCTGAATATTCAAGTTTTTTGCATTTTACTCATGAAGAGTTTTCGTCACAGCGATGATTGCTAAATCCAAAGACTATTGACTTCCCGACATAAAGCGAGAGGATGCTTCAGTTATGACTCAGAAGCTTTAGTGTATGGCCTGCAAATCTAGTGAACCAGACCTAAGTGGTACACCTTGCATGTAGGCATCCTACCCGAAAGCCTCGAGAATTTTAGAGAAACCACAGAACAGAAGCACAAAAAAGAACATAAAGCCACCTTTTGAGAATTCAGCAGCAGGCTTGAATCAGGTGCTACGATATAAACAAGAAGAAGAAACAAGTACTTCAATGTTGCAAGTACAATTTTAAAAGAATTTTAAGTATTACGTTTTTTGTGATTTCTATTTTTAATCTTGTTTATTATTAATTATGAAGAATCATAAAAAAAATATAAATTTTTGTAAAACTAGTTAAAACTTGAGATAACTTTATGGCTTACGACCAAAGTAGTTTTCAAAATGTATTCTTTTCAGACAAAACTAAGGCACAACCTTTAAAAAATCATAAACATGTATCAGAAACCATTTTACAAAAATCGTAAAGTAAATCCACGTCATTGCAACACCAACATCCTTGAGAGCAAAGTAAATGAAGTCAAATTCCTCATAATATTAACAATACCCCACTTCCATATAGAAAATGATACCCTAGCAATCTGACCAGTTATACCAGGTGTGCTCTCAGCAATGAACACTTCATATCAAGAATGGAATTACAACCCTTCTTTTCCAAGTCAATCAAACAATTTATTTCAAATGATAATAATAAAAATACTCATATATATATATATATATATATATATATCACTCAAAAATGCATAGGTAACATTTTGGTGATATCTAAGCTCACACCCAACTCCCACATCATTCCATTACAATCAAAAAGGACACATCCCACACTAAACAAGGCCAAAAACAACAATTAAATAGCCAAAACATGGGGATGACACTTTTCTATTACAAAAACTTTGTTTTAAAAAGTAGTCGCATCACTTTTACTTTTCCTGATTCTCCTCCCCGCATCAGACAAGCGTTTCGCACAAAAAAGCTTCGACGGATTTGACCGGGACGTCGAAGCCTCCAACATGGATTTGCCGTTTCGGTCGCCACTCTTCACCTTCTCAAGTTCATCCAATGCTTGGAATGACTAGCCGCTAAATTGGGCAAAGACATCGTCGACGATGCTAGCGAGAGCTTCGACCATCTTTGGTCGCGGCGTGTGCTTGGCTGCGCCACCACTACCATGGCCCCGTTTTGCTGCAGGTCCGCTACATTCTAGGTCAGCCCCGCCAAAGCCCCCTTCTCTCCTCCAGCTATGAATCATGTGTGCTTTACTCTACTTCACTCATACTTCTTTTCCGTCATGGAAACTGCATGATTTTCATGTTTATTGCAATATTTTTATGGCAATGCTCGTGCAATTCTAGTTACCCACATCCACTCCGAATGCTCGTGTGTGGTGGTAGCGTTGTTATGTTGATATGTATCACGATACTATACAAACGAAATCTGGTGAAAGGGACAATGTATCTTCAGTCGTCTGCGTCAACATTGTGACCGAAGGTGGTTTGATAAGACGTAGTTTGTTTTTTTTGGGCACAAATAACAACCGACTTGTGGCTGAATCATCTGCTGTAGAAAAGGATTTCTAAGTCTCCCAGGAAAATTGGCTAAATAAATCTGTTGTTATCTTGGAAATTAAACGATACCATTTTTCTTGGTCTACACCTCAAGCATTCAACCAACCCACACTTGACGGGCTGAAAACAGAGGAACAGAGCCTTTCTGGCCGTTGGGCCTGCTCGTTTCCGTAGGTAAGTCGTAAACGAAAGCCAGGAGACTTTTGGCAGAGTCTTAAAAATAACAAAGATGGCTGGCTCACCGAGAAATCATGGAGAGCCTGAAGATGCAACCATGGTTATGATGCATATAGATAGGATCTCTTTGCTATCAAGCAAGATGCAGAATTCCAACATTGAGGATTACAGAGATTACCACGAAGCGTCTGTGTCGAGTGCGATATTCAACTTGTCGACCACCATTTTAGGCGCTGAGATTATGGCACTGCCTGAAACCATGGAGGTGATGGGCTTGCAACTCTGTATCTTCACCATCGTAACAATGGGTATTCTCAATGAGAATTCCATTCTAATAATGCTGCCCTGCTCGTGGTTGTTGGAAGCGAGGTCTTATGGTAGATTGATGACAGATGCAGCTGGCCATATTGGAAGCATTCTGGTACAGCTTTGTATCATAATCAATAACATCAGCATTCTTATAATAAACATGATCATAATCAGTGAGCCTTCCCCCCTTCAACTGCACTCATTCATTTGCTAGTTCTGTTCTCCTAGGTTACGATCCTTCATCCACATTGTATGAAAATTGTGGTGTCTGTTATGTAGAACTCACAAGTAATGATTCCATGCCAAAGTATTGTGTCATATAATGACAAAATTATATGATTAAAAATAAAAATATGGATGTTATTATAGAAGAGACTAATAGAAAGGTGTAGTAGAAAAACAAGGATAAATGATAGGAAGGTAGTGAAACATTTAGTCTTAATGTCGACTTTTGTAGAAGGGATTTTTATCTACTTTGTAAGATCATAAAGGCCTCAAATCAAAATAAATGAGACAAGTAAATAATCTAGGCAACTTTAAGAGAGAGTTAACAATAGGTTTAAGCAAAAATTATTTCAAATTATCAAAAATTGGTACCCATAGAGGACTAATTGTGAATTTGGGTTGAAATTACATCCGAAGGCACAAAACTATGTTCCTATGATGCCTTTGGGGGTTTTGGGTCAAAAAAAAGAGTTAGAGAGCAAAATTGAGAGGAAATTTTTAAGAATTGGTTTTATGTCATTTAGATTAATATTGAGATTCTAAGGGTTTTTCAAAGTTAGTAATACACTGAATGAGTTCAAATTTTGAGAAATAATAATAAGTTTATAAATATTAGGATTTTATAAATTTTGTAGCATTTTTAAGGATGAAAATTTGGTGATTTTTTTTTGTACTAGTTATAAATGTGTATGAGAAATTTTAGGTCAATTAAATAGTTAGATTGAAGAGTACAAGAATTTTTGTGGATTAATATCTTAGATAATTGAAATTTAGGATGAATGAGAGATTTTGCGATTAGGCAATATCTACAAATGCAAATGAAGAAAAAATTGGTGAAAATAATTTAGACTTGATTGTCTATACACAACTCAAATTTTAGAGCAATTAAATGGTTCAAAAAGAAGAAATATTTGTTGAAAGATCAACAATTAAGTCAGAGAAGGAAAGCAACCAACAACTAAGAGGTTTTAAGAGCTTTTCTTGCAATTGGTAAGCCCAAATCTTTTCAAATTCTATATGCTTGTTAATTTCTTGTTGATTGAGGTCTAAGTGAAATTTTAGTCAAAATCTACAATTCAATTAATATTTATTGAGGTTTCAAATAACTATAATAGTTGATTAAGATTTACTTGGGATTTTTTTAGGATTAATTAAGGATTTAAGATTGGTCTAGGATTTAGGATTTCATTAGGATTTCACTAAGATTTGACCTAGGATTTGATTGAGGGATATTATTTGGACATAATTTTTTTAAAAATCAATAATTGCTTCTAGGCCTTTCAAAGTATACAAGTAAAAAAAAAATGGAAGAGAATAGTTTTATTTTGTGATTTCTACCATTTCAATACTATGTTTTGAGTAGTACATTTTTTTTTGTTTGTTTATGAATCAATTTTATCTATTATTTATTTATTTATTTATTTTGTTATAAGTGAAGTGATGTTGGAAACTTTTAGTACAGAGAAGCACACAAGTATATTTAAAGAGTAGGTGGGTGGTTGGACATAGAAGAACAAACGCACTTTTATTCTCTTTACAATTTTTGTGATTGTCATACTACCTTTGATCTCATCGACACTTTGATAAACAATCAGGGTCTTCATAGCTTTCAAGGTTTTGCTACCTCCTCATAGATGTGATATTATCCATAGTTATCTTTTTGAGTTTGCATCATTAAAAAGGTTGGACTTGCAATGACTTCATACTCTTTGAAATGGACATTTGTATTGTCAATCATATTAGCAATGGTGTTTATGCTCATCATTATAAGAATGATACTGTGAAAATTGTTTGAAGATGATGTCTTGTGGCTGAGGTTGATGCTTAATGTATGTGACCAGAAGTCTTTCTAGCTGCTTTTTACTATCATTCAAGTTCTGGATACTACATACCTTTGCCATCACAATAGTACTACCTTGCATTAGAGTAGATTATTCATTAATTATATTTTTAAGATGAGCAATTAGGGTGACAATTAGAATTCATCTAGTGAAAAAGTACAAACTTTCAAGAGTATCTTTGTCTCTTGATTAAATATGTTCAAACAAACACAATTTTTTGTGCATTCAATATATCATTATTTTATTATATTATTCATTATAAAATTATTATATTATTCTAATATGATACCAAAGCAATAATAAATTCTTGACATAAATTTTTTAGAAAAATAATAAATAATTATAAGGAAATGAAAATTTGACAAAGATATTTGTCATAGAAATTGAAGGACCAATTCACCTACCTTCTCTTCAAAATGACAATAATAAGCCTATCAACCAAGAGATGGCTAAAATTTGATGGCTCTTGGTATATAATTTGAAAAAAGAAAATCTAAATAAAATTTAAAATAAAAAACTTATAGGAATTAGTATTTGATAAAAAAAAAATAGATATAAATCCTATAAAATAATGCAACAATGTTAATACCACCAACAAACCAAGTTACAATCACTACGTGGAAAAAGCAAGATCATGGTATATTATCCATCATATGGGATTGTGTAGATAATTCCATATTCTCCTACATAGGAGCACCCACAATGGGCAATGAAACTTGGCTTGTATTTAAAAATACCTATTTTGCAAGTAACACCATCACATAAGCATATTTACAAGAGAAAACATAACACAAAAAATAATTGGGTGATTAGGTAATACAACATCCACATAATTTTAGAATGTTATTATAAAAATATCATTTTATCATAGCTATTATTCCATTTCAAATAGAAATTTCTACATTGATGTAGTTAATTCCATCTCAATATGGTACCATCATTCAAACACTGTGCTTTATTGATACAAAAACTCTATCAAAATTGATTTCTATCTTATGACAAGAAGAGACCACAATGAAGAACTCTTCTACCAAATCACAAGCAATTTTTGTTGGAAGAAAATGAAAAGGAAAGTAGCAATTACATCCCCTTACAAAACCACCACAAAAAGAATATAAAAATTTAAAGAACAAGGCAAATCCAACAACTCCATGTCCACATTGCAAAAAGATCAGACATTAGAGATCAAAATATTTTACAAAAACCAACAATTCATGAGAATAGAAAATCGAAATAGAAATCCAAAGATATAGAAGAAATGCTTCCATCATTTTGTACTCATGTATATTTTATACAAGCATATTGCTCCAAAAAATCATGCAAACGTGGAACAACAAAAGATTCCATATGGATCATTAATATGGGTGCAGCTCTTCACTTGGCTCATAACAAATACTAATTTATTACTTCTGAATAATTGTCATCAAAAGAAAATTATGTAAATCTTAATGACAACATTATTCTTTCAACTTATGCATAAGGTAATGTAGAGATTTCCATGATAAATAGACAAACCTTTTGGTTCAATAATACATTATACATTCTTGATTTGCACAAGAACTTGTTTTTGATAAGTGACCATGATATACAAAGTGGCGGCATATCCATAAAAAAAATCATATGTATAGACTTCTTGCTGAAGATAATTCTACAATTGCTTCTTGCCCCCTTCAGAATCATTTGTATATTCTTAACAACATACTATTACAAGACACAATAATAGAGTCCAATGTAACTATTACTTGAGGTGATGATTCACATAAAAAATCTCTCTTTGTAATGTATTCGAATTCAGCTATTATCCTTCTAAATTTTGACTATGTAACATCTTCACCAAATTCTTCCAACTTGTGGCATTGCTGGTTGGGGCATACAAGTACCAAGAGATTACAACAACTCGCCACTTATAAATCCATCATGGGTCTCAATGCCACTAGATGTATGCTCCATGAAGCTAAATTATCACAACCATATTCGGGCAAAGGTGCCACATCCAAAGCCATTTCAAGCTGATCTTTGCATAGTCATCATTCTGATCCAATATGGCCTATCAGCAGACATTATTGATTCAGACGCCAACATTGTGAAAAGAGATTCATTCCTACACTCATCTATCTGAACCATATTTGTTATTTATGGAAGGACTATCGATTCAAAAGCATCCTCAATGGAACCATTTCTAATTGTGCTATCCAGCACAGGCTACTGTGTTAGTGCATCTAGACATTACCATGCAGCAGAATCTGCATACTTTGTAAATCAGAGGTGAGTAGTACTCACAACATGAAATCTGTAATTTTTTTTTTTTTTTTTTTTTTTTTTTTTTTCTTGTTTTCATCAGGGAAAAAACTTTTTGCTGTTAAGAAGGTGTTGTCAAGGGTGTGAAGACCATCACATGTTGCAAGCTTCTTTTGTGGGTGTCAATTTTGGTCTCTTTTATATAAAAAAGATATTTTATTTTACCTCATGTTATAAAAATTCTTACACAATAAAGAATGAATTTTGCTCGAAAAGCACACGTCCGAAATTCCTTTTTATTCCCTTTTCGTCAAAGGCGAGAGTCTTTACACTTTCGGGGCCCTACCTCACTGAGCATCTCAAAAGCCCGTTTTGCCTGCCGCGATGCCAATCTTCCTCCTATTTGGCATGTAGGAAACGCTAGATATGGCGGAACTGTGCAATGCAAGTGGGATGGCAGCCACGTGAGTCTGACCATGTTGGCGCGACGAGGGCATTCATGGACGCCGGGTCGGAATCCCTAGAAAAAGGCTAACAGCACTGCTTCCCATAGCCCTTGCCTCTCTCTGGAATAGCAAGAAAGTAAACAGCACCAGACTCGTTTTTTGTGTCATAAAATATTAGAAGAAGTCCAGCGCCAGACATGGATAGCTTCTCCCCCCCCCACAATTAGATGTAGCTGCTCATGAATTCAGCCCTATGGTGGGCCTCGGCATCTAGTCCGCCCATATCTGCCAGCTGGATTGCTTCCTGATCGTGTCATTTGGCGTTGTAGCGGTTGGATCAGGCCTGTCGGAGCCTTAACGTCAAGCAGAACGCACGAGATCAGCCTGGAGCCTGAGACCAGTCACCTGAAGGCTGATCGTTAAAGGGAGGGGCAGTAGTCATCCCGCGACGCACTCAAGTTGCGTCTAATCCACTTGCGCGTCGGTTTTCTGTGGGAGTTTCCATTGGGTCCGATTCCAATGCTTGCGTCTTGAGGTTTAGAGCTTCGGTGTGGATAACATCAGTTGTGCAGGGGTTTTCGAAGCGGGGGTTCGAGTTGGCATCAGGGTTATGAGATTGGCCAGGTTCGGCGGGGAGGCGTTTCGTGGAGTGTTGTAGCTGGCGCTGCAGGTTGTTTGGCGGTTTTTAGGTGGTTGACATTGCGCGTGCTGGTTGAGAATGCTATCAAGGTGATTTGTAATTGTTTTTTTTGGTCGTAGATCTCGTGCGAATGGTTCTGCTGTTTTCTAGATGCTGCGTTCTGGCCTCTTAGCAACTCTCTTTTTCGCCGCAATGTGCTCGGATCCAGCGAGTTTTCTCGCAGTTGGATTTGTTGCGAGAGCTATTCATTGCTTTGGTTTGCTCCCGCCGGGGAAATCGACTCGTCAGTCTAGTAGAGAATATCTAGGCAGATAGTACGAAGCGAGCTCCGGGGTGGCAGCTAAACAGACGTGTTCATCAGCCAACACCATACTCTACGAAGTTTAGTGCGAAGAGGTCTGCAGCTTTGGTGCAGATGCAAGCATTGCCGAAGTGGCATCAACGCCGAGTTTGAGGGTGTGCTCTGTTATCCATGGCGTGGACAAATCGTTGGTTAGTGCTAGTAGCTTCAATATGGCTGCAGGCATGTGCGGGAATTGGCTATATCTTCGGGAGCATTTCACCTGTGATTAAAACAAATCTAAATTTGAACCAGAGGCAACTTAACCGATTGGGGGTAGCGAAGGACCTCGGCGATAGTGTTGGCCTTCTGGCCGGTTTTCTGTCAGATTGGCTGCCTTCCTGGGGCCTCATTTTAGTGGGCTTGTTGCACAACTGTATTGGTTATGGTTGGGTTTGGCTGATTGTCATCCGTCGAGTTGCTACACCTCCTTTCGCTGTGGTATGTTGCGCTTCTTCCCACCCTCTCTTTCTCAGTGTTGTATTCTCCCTTATCGGTCGAACTGTGGATGCTTTGAGTTCGCAAATTTTTGTCAAGAATAGCCAATCAGCTGCCTATGTGGTGTAGCATTTTGAATGTAATTTTTCAAACATCTTGGAGGCTTTTTCTGATAGGTTCTGTGGCTGGACAGGTCTGCTTGCTGATAGCTCTTGGAACGAATGGTGAGACATACTTCAACACTGCTGCTTTGGTGTCGTCTGTTCGCACTTTCTCGCATTACAGGGGCCCTGTGGTGGGAATCTTGAAAGGATTTGCCGGCCTAGGTGGTGCCATTTTCACATGTGTATACACTGCCTTTTTTGCTCCTGACCAAGCATCCTTCATACTCATAATAGCGGTAGGTCCAACATTAGTAGCGTTTCTGGCTTTGTTTGTCATTCGGCCTTTGCCCATTGAAGCAAAAGATAGCGGTGATCATGACCAGAAATTCAGATTCCTCTACGGCATTTGTTTGGTGCTGGCAATCTATCTGTTGTCCACTATAATCGTACAGGATAGTCCTTCAGCCAGTAAAAATACGGATCGTCTCTTCGCAATTGGATTATTCACGCTCCTTGCACTGCCATTAGCCCTAGTCATTCCTAGTGCCCTTGAAAAGCAGTCCTCCGACTACGATAAAAGTTTCCAAGACGAAGCCGGCCAATTGCGTGCTCCTTTACTGGACGATGTGGAGAATGAAGTTGCAGCTGGTGGAGAAGGGCGTGCCACTGTTGTGGGCAGCGTTGATGGGAAGGCATCAGGGCAGTGCACAGCTACGCGGGCCTGGAAAGAGTCTCCCCGTCTCAAAGACCAAGATTTGCTTCTCTTTAGCGAACTCGAAGACGAGAAGGAAACGTTGCCGGAACCCGTCAGGCGTGACCGGATGCGCCGTGCCAGCTCCCGTTTGTATCGTGCTGTAGCTGAGGGAGCCGTCAAGGTGAAGCGGAAACGGAAGGGTCCTCACCGAGGCGAAGACTTTACAATGAGGCAGGCTCTGGTCAAGGCAGACTTATGGTTACTGTTCTTTGGCCTGGTGTGCGGCGCTGGGTCTGGTTTGATGGTAATCGACAATTTGGGGCAGATTTCTCAGTCTCTAGGGTATAAGGACCCTCACATCTTTGTTGCCCTCATCAGCATTTGGAACTTCCTGGGACGCCTTGGTGGTGGTTACGTCTCCGAAGTAATTGCCAGGTGCGACTGCGCATCCTCTCATCCTAACAAACTTGCTCTCATCCAACCATATCACTGACACCCATTGCATTATGCAAGTTGATGAACTGCACAGCACAGCTACTGGCAGAAACAAAAAAAAGACAACAAATAACTTTGCTGATGTGAATTTGCAGAGGGCACGCCTTACCCAGGCCAATTCTCATAGTAGGAGCGCAAGCGATAACGACCATAGGCCACGCATCATTGGCAGTCGGCATGCAGGGCTCGCTGTACGCCGGCTCGTTACTGGTGGGCTTGGGATACGGAGCTCACTGGGCCATCGTCCCCGCCACGGCGTCGGAGCTCTTTGGGCTGAAGAACTTCGGCATGCTGTACAACTTCCTCGCCATGGCGAACCCAACTGGGTCCCTCATCTTCTCGGGGCTCATTGCAGGGACTCTCTACGACTGGGAGGCTCAGAAGCAACATGGTGGTGTTGCCCCGCGAAACGGCGAGGCTTTGAGGTGCGAAGGCCCTGTTTGTTTTCGTCTCACCCTCTTTATAATGACGGGGATGTGCATGCTCGGTGCAGTCCTCAACACCATCCTCATCTTCCGCACGCGGCGTGTGTACACAATGCTGTATGGGAAGACGCAGCGCGACGACGCAGTCGGTGAGGAAGCTCGCGACGCCACTGCTAGTATTCAGAACTAGTGTGTACAATACCTCGTAGCTATCAATATTGATTGATTTATGATTTTGTTGCACGGAGACTGGAAATTAACATTTGAAACTCTCTCCTCGATTTCACAAAGACAAAGGACAGACTTCATTTTGAATATTGAAATTCTTAATTTTGTGCCAATTGGGCCAGAGCTTTTGCAGCACTTATTGTCCCAATTCTGAGCAAAGCTTTCATAAAAATACATACTTATTTTTATTTTTATTTTACAAATTGAAGTGAAGGCAATCAGAACGCCTTGGTTGAACTTGTTGTTCATTTGTACCAAGAGTGAGTGTGTCTGGAATTTTTGTGTTTATTTCCACAATGAGGGTATTGATTATTCTTTTGGTTTGCATCAGTTTGTAAATGTGAGAGCATGAAAATAAATAAATGAATAGATAATGAAGTGATTATGTGTTGTTCCATGAAGAGAATTAATAAGAATGTGTAGCCTTTATAATCGTAATTTTTCCATGTTAGATATATTATTTGGACAACTCAATACCTTGTGAATTATTAAATGGTTTTGGTAATTAATGATACCTTTCAATTGTCCATAGTATATGGTTTTTTCATATCCTCTTAAGATTGATTAAATGAATGCTTTCTTGGCATCCAAATAAAAAACAAGTATGTACAGTGTTTAATTATGTCATTCAAAGGAATATAAATTGACAAACACTTTTTAAAGCCCTAAAGAACTATAAGATGATAATAGATAGTTTTAAAAAGATTACAGAATATGTTTTGAAACTTTTGTAATACTCTTAAATAGTGTGACTCTTTGAAAAACATCACAAAATAAAAAAAACAAGTATATCTATATATATTGAAGAATATTATATTATACAAATTCTAGCTTATTCAACATTAAGTGATTTATAAAAATAGATTATTTTTCTTGTCAATTGATATTAAGGTTAATACTTGGTAAGCTTTGAAGGAAATAAAACTTTGGCATAGTCAACCAAAGGATATTCTATAATTGAAGATATCTTATTAAGACTTATCCAATAAAAACATCTACAAGTACTTTCTATTTATAACTAAAATATCTTGGCAGTAAGATTTTTATCTTACTCTATATATCTCTTGTGTGCATCTTGTTGGGTTTTTTTTTTTTTTTTTTTTTTTTTTTTTTGATTTTCTTGTATTATCATCTATCTTTAATATTCTTCATTATCATATGTTATAAAAGAATTAAATAAAAAGTCAAAAAATTGTAATCAAAATCTTATTTTTATAATTTCTTTGTACTTGTATACTTAAAAGGTAGTCATATTCACCTTGAAGGTCTTTAAATATCGATTTGAAATAAACAATACCAATGAGAGAGTGTCTTTGTATTGCCATTATATTCCTAAAAATGATAATAATATAAATGAAGAAAGTTATAAGGTTATTGTGATGGATTAATAGCAAGATGTTAAAATTATCTAATATAATCAAAAAAATTATTAAAAAAATAATGTAATTTCAAGATTTTAAATACAAATAGAATGTCATAGCTTGTGTTGTGTAATTTGTGTGTAGGTATTCAAAAAATTAACTTTTAGAATGTGCTGCAAAATAAATAAATAAATAAATAAATACAAAACAAGTTATTTTAAATGTTAAATTTTTGCACTTGTATAAGATTTGAAGGCAATAATAACGAATACTTGTATAAGATTAGAATATATATATATATATATATATATATTCTAACATACATAAATACACATGCATTGTGGAAAATTTAATGCCTTCATTCAGATTTTATCTCATATATATATATATATATATATATATATATACAAATTAATCAATCATTTTTATTTTAATATAAAACATAAAGAATATATTTGAGCATAAATATTATTTTTAACTAAACTCTAATATTCATAAATTCTGATGAATTGCAAAGAAATTAAATATAAATAAATTAGGGACTCATAAAGAATGATAGGACTACATTGTACAAAAATGAAATGAGTTGCATGTTAATGTTGTTTCTTTTTCACATGATCTAGAAATAAAATATTTATTTTACTTTGAATCAAAAGTTAAATTATTAAAAAAAAGTTAATTCTTCTTAAGCATGTTGAAAAAATATAACTAATAAGAAAATAACCCAAAATATAATAATTTAAAAAGTGGACTACCAAATTTATGAAATAAATTACAAAATTATTCAAAATTAGAGATATAAGTAAAAATTAACCACATTTCAACGAACCACTTGTAGATATAAGTTCTGACTTGGTGCAAATCTTGCCCACAATATATAGTACTTGTTATATTCTTGTTTAAATGGATGAGGCTGTACTTCTCTAGTATAAATCAACAAATAAAAACCTAGACAATAAATATTTGGGTACTACTCTTACATCTTTTGTACACCTAAGATTTGCTGCTCAATTATTATATTGTGTCTCTTGCATATTTAGTTGTGTTTGTTTAATTAATTTTTGACTAATAAATTATATCTATCTTTAGTAAGTCCTTGATCGTTGAATGGATGAAGTACGAAAGTCATTAAGAACTTTTGTCAAGCTTAGATATGATTAGTGACTATGTAAGACTTTGATGGAGACGTCGAATAGCTATATAATACTATCAACACAACTCTAAAAAATACATAGGCAATAGATGGACATAGGAAATATCAAAAGAATTAGTTTGGCAATATGTAAAGTTTTATAGAATGCAAAAATACACCTCCAATGGTAGAAGGGTTAATGACCAAGTGAAGTCAACAAGGATAGCTTTGCAACGCCTCCCAAGAGACTTAATATGGCAAAACAAACTCATGTGAGAATGGTCAATCAACCACCTCTTACCTCCAATGATAAACAACCCAACTTAGCATTGCCATATTTTATGAAGTTTATTTGAGAATGCATCTAATACTTTGTTGTGGAAGGTAAATTAGAACTTGTATTTAGAAGATCCTAACAACTCTGATAGAATCCTAAATAAACTTCAATTAAACTATAATAATGCTCATCAATCTTTAATTAAACTCCAAAAGAGTCTTAAAGAACTTACAAAAAAAATATAAAGAAACTATAAATTAAACTTAAAGAAATATATATAATAAAAAAATCCTAAAGATATATTAAAAATAGAAATTTTAATTGAATCTTAACTAAATTCTAATATAATTCTCAATAAATCCTAATAAAATCCTAAATCAATCCTAATCAAATCCTAAACAAATCTTAGTCATATTTTAGATCAAATTCTAATAAAATCTTAATAAATACCTAACCAAATTCTAACAAAATCCTAAATAAATCCTAAATCTTAACCAAATCTTAGATCAAATCCTAATAAAATCCTAAATCTCATATCAAATTGAAATATCAATAATTAATGATCAAATCATTGATTTTAACTCAAAATTTGAATACTTGTTACTAAGTTGGTAAGAAGTACAAAAGTTTTGAAAAAGATCAAATATACTAAATAGAAGATAACTCCTAAAATCTACTTGGTTGTTGGCTAGCCTCCTTCTCCAATCTTGATGCCAATATTTTAGAGCCAAAATCTCCTAATTTTACTATTGAATAGCTTTCAAATATTACAAAATTATTGAAAGTCAAATTTACTACTTTTATATAAAATTTTAATTCAATCCAATTGTCAGATTGATAGATATTTTAGAAACCTTTACTAATTCTATAAATCCCAATTCTAGAGACCTCAATATGTTTGAGTTTCAATTAACTTTGAATAAATTCTTAGATTAAGTTTAAATTTATAATAAAATTTATAATAAAATTTATATACAATAATGATTATTTAATCAAAAAAAATATTTATAGATTATCTATAAATTTCACACAATTTTCCAAAGTACACATTCTTTAGATTTTTTCAAAATCCAAAGTCACTTGAAAATAATTTTAACTTTGTAAAGTCTTTACAGAGTCATTGTGCATTCAAATTACTTTAAATTAATGTTTAAAGATCCTCACTCTTGTTTTCTTTTAATCTCTATACTCCAATCAACCAAATAACCTTAGAATTGCTATAGGTACAAGGTTTTGTGCCTCAAGATCTGATTTCGACCTTGATTCACAACTAGTCTTCTTTGAATACTAATTCTTGGTATTTTAAGGTAATTTTTTTCTAAAAAATATATTTTGAAACTTACTTCTAAAGATGTCTATATTAATTATATATCTCATTTATTTTGATTTGGTTCATTTATGCTCATATAAAGAAAATATTAGTCTCTTCTATAAGATAGCAATATTAGCACTTTTTAATTTTTATTAACTTCTTAAGTATTATCTAAATTTTTAAGATAGTTTGTTAAAATATTTTCATTTAAGCTCCTCTATAATAAAATATTTCCTCTCTTCTTTTACTTAATGGCCATATTATTATACAACAATGCCTCACACAATAATTGCAACATTCAACAACATGAAACATCATTAACATAATATTGATATCTAAACCTCTTCCATATAACACAATAAAAAATTTCTACTATTTTTACTACAAGAGACAAATATCATAGAACTATTCATCATAAAGAAGCAAGTGAAGATATTTAAATAAAAATATAAAAAATAAATATATAAGATCTTGTAAAAGATATAAATCTTCCAAGACAAGAAGGTGATTTTGACTTAAATAGCAAAAATGATGAAAATAATTTGGATGAAAATATGAAAAATATAATATGAATCAAACAAGATTTGAATTAATTGGCACATATAAGAGGATATACAGCTTTAGAGAGGGTGGATTTTATATAGTAACTTGACTATATGGTGAAAAATAAAAATTTGGATGTTATTATAGAAGAGTCTAGTAGAAAGATATAATAAAAAAATTAAGGATAAATAATAAAAAGATAATAAAAACTTTAGTCTTAATACTACCTTTTCATAGAAGAAAGTTCTATTTACTTTATAGAAGCATGAATGAGCCAAATCAAAGTAAATGAGATAAGAAATTGATATAGGCATGTTAAAACAAAAATTACTTCTAATTATTATGAATTGATATCCAAAGAAGACCAATTGTGAACTAAGATTGAAATCAGATCCTGAGACACAAAACCATATATTTATACCTATTTTAAGATTCTTAGGTTGATTAAAGAACAAGATTTGAGAGTAGATAATAATGAAGTTCTTTAAGTATTAGTTTCAATTTATTTGAGTACATAATAACTTTGTAAAGACTTTGCAAAGTTAGGGTTGTTTTTAAGTGACTTTAGATTTTG